CACACCACCACACCACACACACACACACCACACACACACCTACACACATACACATCACATATCAGTACACACACTACACACTATCACTACACTACACACACTCTATACCTACATCATCGACACACACACACTCTACACACACACACACACACACCACTAAATTCACTCAAACCAATCCACTAATCTCACAATTCAATCACTCAAACATACCATACACTTCACACACACTTTCATTAATCTACACACTTAGTCAACACAACATTCATTATTTACAATTCACACATATTCAACAACTATCACACACAATCAAATTCACAAAATAAATCACCTATCACACTAATCTACACATTATATCTACACACACACACTACTACACACTTATCCAATTAAGTAATTCACTATTATTCATATCATATACTACTAATCTATTACACATCACACATATACACACATCATTTAACCTCTCAATTCAGTATCACCACACAACCTTACAACACACAAAATTTACACAATTCACACCTACTACCCACACACACACATCATCTACTTTTTCCAATTACTTACCTTCACACACACACACACACTACACCACACTACCACACACACACACCTACACCCACACACACACCAACTATACTCACCATCATTATTCAGTTATATGGACCTACACTCACCAACAGCACTTACATCATCATACCTCTAAACCCGCTTAAACATTATCACAAATCACAGTTAAGCTGACCATCACACCGACACAATATAATACACTTATTCAACACACACACACTACTAGTCACAGAATAGACACACACACACCAAACACACACATCACACCGATCAATGGATCAACATTGGGTGTACACATCAATGTTACATGTTCTTCGACACGGTGCATGCTATAGAGCACACTTGTACATCCACATCCCTGACACACACATACATCACACTCGGATCACGCACGCCACACACACACAACAATCATCATTTGGGCAATGAGTCTGCACACACACACATTCACACACTACCACACACACACACACACACACACACACACCACACACACCACACACACAGCTAGCATACACACGACTACTACATTCATAACTCAACTACACTATCATACGCACATACAGATATATGTAATATATATTATATATTTATATATAAATTTTTTAGATATATATATATATTCTAATAAATATTAAATATAATAGTTCTCCTATATATTTTTAATAATTTAACTTTCTTTTTATAATTATACTCACTTACAATTTAATTATAATCCAATTAATATAGATTATATTAATCTAGTACTGATATAAATATGTTAATATATATTTGTCCATATATAATTTATTATAACAAAAGAGATATTATAATTAATTATACTATTATATTACATAATATTTAATATATATATTTTTATTATGTTATTAGTATATTTCATCATTAATAGCTAATTTTATCTGATATACTAGTATATATTGTATTATATTATTTATATAATTTATATACTCATAATTAAAATATATTATTTATATAATATTATATTATAATTTAATTCTAATTTTTATATATGATAATTAGCTATATTTTTATATATCTAGCTCATATTTCATACTTTTATATTATAATTTATATTATTATATTATTTATATCTATTTGTTATATAGAACATTATTATTTCATTATCTGTTATTACTAATTCATTATTATCATTTTTATATGCGCTATATACCTATCACTATATTATATTATTATATAATAATATAATTTATATTATATCAACCATAATTGATTATAGTAGTATGTTTAAATTTTTATCATTACATATTTCATTATATTATATAATATATTAATCTATAATGATTATATACTAATAAGATTTATATTTATTATATATCTATATTATAATTGATCATCTATAAGATTTATATGCATTTATATATATATCATTATATCACTAATTACTAAATCTATAATACATTTGTATATAGCTAATATATAAAATGTAAATTTAATATATTATGCTTTTATTATTAACTATTTAGCACATACTATGTCTTTTACACAATAAGTAATTTTATATAGTAAAATATATTATATAATTAATATACAAATAATAACATCATAACATCAAAGGTAAACTATTTTATCGTTATTAATAAAATGATAATATATGTATTTATTTCTATATTACTATATACCTTTTACTATTTATCTGTATCAATGTAAGAAAATATATAGAGTAGGTTACAGTACGGTACCAGAAATATAAAAAGATAATAGTATAGACAATATAGAATATATTAAAGTTAATTAGATATAATTTTATAAGTATAAAGTAAAGGTATTAGATATATATAATATATAATATTAATATAATTATATTAGATAGTAAATATGTGAATGATAATATATATATAATATTATATCATTAATATGTCGATTTATAATGTGATTATCCTACGTTGCGTCTGATTTCGCAGAATAGATTATTGTAGTTCCTACTAGAAAAAAAATAGCAGTTTTCTGAAGAGATTACATATTTCGTATATAATAGTCAAAAGCAAATAAATGTATAAAGTCAATGAAAAAGCAGCTTGTTTCTAATCTCATATAAAATAAATTACAATGTATTCTTATACTAAAATATCATTATTGATATAGCACATTTATAAAAATAAATTAAGCGAGTGCGGTAACTACCATAACGCTATATATCCATTGTGTTCAATGGATTAGTAGTTATATCGTGTCTTTATAAAATGTTACGAAACCAAGAGAGCAGTAAAAAAAAAACATTGGAACCCAAAAAAAAAAAAATACGAATATATCAAAAGAAATATTTCCCGAAAAACAAAAGAAAGAGAATATAATACTATGAATTTTCCCGCATAGCCGTTAAGCTTTAGTAAGTAAAGCGAAAGAAACAGAAGAGGGCTGAGAATATAGGGGATATACGCAAGATGGCTGGAGGATAGAAAAATTGAAGAAGAAGTGACAAATGAGTAGTGCTACCAGTAAATTTTGATAAGATTATGCGAGGTGATTTATTAAGAAAAGGGTGAACTGCAACGAGAGAGACGAGGGCTGTTGTGGAAGGGGGTGTGTGAAGTGGGAGAATTTAATAGAATATAACGAATAATTATCCCCGTTGTATTTTTACTGGTAGTATAAACAAAGATGACTGACCAGCAATGTATCAATGGGTTGTGATCATTTGGCTAATTCTAGAACTATTTATACCACATCTTAAATGTTTACAATATATAAAGAACATCCAGTTATTATATCAAGGCCTTTAATAAAGTGTCCCTGGTAGGAGACATAATGAACCAATGATGCAAGACTAGTGCACGCCGTATTACGTTAAGAGGATCATCAGTGAAAATTGGTCGAATCATACGAATGATTGACCTTATATAATGATTGTTTTCAGTATGGAGCTGAGTATGGAATAATCTGTAAGAGTTTCGAATTGCCATCTTGAATTACCTTGATTGATTTTTTTGGTTTATAGTTTGATGTAGTGAAGTGTGTAGGTGTTAACAGATGATCAATGATTACTATTGGCTAGTCGAGTGGTGATCGTGATATAAGATTAGTATGTAGACGCTGATTAAGATATGATTTGGAGCCCTTTTGTTGGGCTTTACCATATTTTAGGTTCTCAGCATTGTTATTTCTTTAATAAACTAATAGCATGCATGCTGGAATTTAATGTTTTTCTATTGTAATTTCTAGGGGCATTATTTATATATTGACAATAATATCTTCTTTTCACTGTTTTTCTCATTGCCCTTTTCTCTCTTTTTGTGCCCTTTTCTCAAGGAATTTTATATATCTTTTTCTTTCTTCCTCTCATCTGTCACTCCTTCTCCCTACTTCCCTTTCCTTCACCCTTGTGCAAGTATGCTCTACTTACATTGAAATTCGATTTATGGGAAAAGAGACGAGTTATTTATATATATTTTTTCTAACTATTTGGATATGTACAAACAAAACTTAGATCTGAAATATATGTATGTGTTTATACACACACAAGTACACATAAACACACATAAACACACATGGCTGCAAACAAACACAACCACAAACACACATACACAACCATGCACACATGCACACACATATGCATATACATGCACACACATACACATGCACATGCATATGCACACACACATTCCCACATATACATGTATATACTCTACATATATGCACATGCACACACACACACACACACACACACACACACACACACAACACACACACACACACACACACACACACACACACACACACACACACACACACACACACACACACACACACACACACACACACACACACATGCACACACACACATGCACACACACATGCACACACATACACACACATACACACACATACACACACTACACATACACATACACATACACATACACACATACACACACTGCCCATACACACACACATACATACACACACACATTACACACACACACACACACACACACACACACACACACACACACACACACACACACACACACACACACACACACACACACACACACACACACACACACACACACACACCACACACACCACACACACACACACACACACACACACACACACACACCACACACACACACACACACACACACACACACACACACACACACACACACACACACACACACACACACACACACACACACACACACACACACACACACACACACACACACACACATGCCTACACACACATACACACACACATGCCTACACACACACACACACACACATGCCTACACACACACACCACACACACACACACACACACACACACACACACACACACACACACACACACACACACACACACACACACACACACACACACACACACACATGCAGCATACATGACCCATCAAAAAGAACCTGTTGACATCGCACCTCCCCTTAAAGGCTAATGACCTTATGCTTTCCAGGAGTATGTCCGCGAGCACCAAAAGGATGACTACTTGTGCCACCCCATGAGGAACCCTCGAGCCAACCCATTCCGAGAGAAGAGCATCTGCCACATCCTCTAGACCTTTTTAAACAAGCATTTTTAAGCTTTGTGATGTTGTTTAACGATGTTAGAACAAAATGCAGCTGATCTGTGTTTTAGATTTGAATCGAGCAGCGAATTTGTACACTTAATGCCAACCAGTAGATTTTGTAAGGTTGATGAGATGACTTGACATGGTATCACATGTTAGTTGAATTGCGATTTTAGTTCCCTTTTTTATTGTTTTTATCTGACTCTTTGTTATTTAATTTCCTGGAATTATTATAGATCTGATAGAAGAGTATAAAGGAAGTATATATTCACTGTATAACAGTATTTTTGCTTTTATTTCATTTTATTAAGTAAGTGTTTTATGTGTTCTGATACATAGACATGAACTGTATCTTCATTAGGGATCAGAGCTGCAGTCTGTGTTTGTGCTGATATTTTATGATTATTAATATTGTACCTCCCTAAAGGTGGATCAAAATAGCTTAAGCTCACCAAAGATAGCCAATTCAGTAACAGAATCCAAAGGATAAGAGATTATTAGAGCTAATGTTAATATCAAAACCTCCATTTTAAAAATGCAAGTTTTGAGAATTTTGTATTTGGTTAAGATATTTTGTACTCCTATCTCAGGCAGAATTGTTGATCATTTAAATTACAATAATAGTGACTGAGTATGTGAGTAGATGTGAGGAAGTCTGTGTAAAATGTGCTTTGTTGGGAATAAATGAGTGTATAAAAGTGTATGTGCTTGAATTTGTTTGTTTGCATAGATGTAGGTGTAAGTAGGCTTCCGCAGTGGGTGGGCGTGTCTGTGTATTTTTGTGTAAATATACATAGATATGTATGTATATATGTATCTGTAACTTTTTACAATGTGTTTGTGTGTATCAGCATTTGTATATGAGGGTTTGTGTGTGTGCATACTGTATGTGGGTGCATAAAGGTCCACATTTAAGTACACTGACATAAGCAATAGTGCACATATCATATTTTTTTTTTTTTTTTTTTTTTTTTTTTTTCTTTTGAAATAGGTTCACCTGCAGCTATGTAGCAAGGGACAGCTAACATTTATTTTATTAGAGATTATAACAATGTACAATTTTGCCTTTAAAGATCTGTTTCAATACCATGTCAAGCACTGTTTCTAATCTATACAGGAAGTTAGCTATTTCTAAAACATTAGGAATTTATAAGCTATTTATTAGCTGTTAGCTATTTCTAACGCATCATATGCATTTCATACTAAAGCACTTTCAGATTGTCAAGCCAATTTATAATGGTCTTCAGGATGTTATTAGGATTTTTACAACCCTTTTTTTGATAGATATGGAAACCATATTGTGTTTTTTATTTTCATTTTGAAGTTATATATATAATTTTTTTTTTCTCTCTCTCTCTTTCTTCCACACAGTAATTCCCTGACTACTATTGATGAAGATGATTTCTTGTTATTTCAAGATTGGGTAATGGAACGGATAAATAATTTGTCTGTGAAATTTGAATAAATCATAATTTTGGTTGACATGACATATGTATTTTTGGAAACTGGTGAGAATACAATAGTATGAATATGAAAAAAGTCTTATATCAACTTGGTATTGAAAGTGACACAAATGGAAGATGGAAACAGTTTAAGAAAACTGAGTAGATAAATATTAATGTCACAAGTCTTTCATAACATAATCAACACTTACCTTCCTCATAGGATCTAAAAAGAAATGTTTGTACATACATACTTAATGATTGAGAAAGTACAGTGTTTATTTTAAAGACTGTAAGCTGTTGAACAGGATGTGGTGGTTTGGAGATCTTTCTTTTGTCATCATGAATCTCATTTGCCATTCTGAGAAAATTATTATATAAGCCTTCATCTTCCTCTTTTTACTTAGTTCATGTCAAAGTTTGGTCATTGGTTCATGGTTTTGTTGCATGTTTTTAGGTGTCCTTGTTCCTCTCTATTTTTTCATGGTAGTTTTCTTGTGTAGGACTTGTTTTAACCCCCCACGGACAGGGTCTCGCAACATTACACATGCATCCACCAGCCTCTATTTTAATCCTACTCATCTGTTCCCCATATGTCAATAAGTGATGAAAAATTACACTTGTTCTTTCTTAATGATTTTAGATTATTCGTAATCATTACAAAGTATATTTTATAAGGGAAAATATTGCTTGTATAAATTTATATTTGTCAAAAAAAAAAATATATATATATATTTATATATAATTTGTGGGTGTTATGTAGCTGAAACCTTTCCGTGAGGAGACAAAAATCCATAAAAGCTGTGTTTTTCAAACAGGATAAAGAATGGGTGACAAAGAGTCTTCTGCTCTGGCAATTTTTTCTCCAAATTAAATAATAACTTCCTGTTGTTGTTTTGTTGTCCTTTTGGTAGCATTCTTTTAAGCTGTCCATTCAAAAGACTAAAAATATTCACCTGGAATTTTAATATACATTATACATGTACACAAATTTGTTATAATTATATCATATACTATAATTGTGGGGATATCTTTTTATTATGAATTTATGAAAAGGCTATAAATGCCATTCTATTCTTCAAAAGCTAGAGATGTAATTTCAGGTATTTCATATGTTAGAGTAAAAGGTAAAGTATAATTTGTAAATATTTATTTCTAAACAGAAGACCAGCTTCTGACAGAAAATAACAGTATAGATAAATAGTGATATAAATACACAAAGCCTAACTCGGCCTAACTTGTTGGAAACCCAAATCATACCAAAATGATGAGGAATGATACATTCATATTTGCAAAAGCTGGTATGAATGACAGAGAATAATTTTACTAGGCAGGACACCACCATTACATTTGGTTTTATAAACTTTTATCAGAATAAATGTAAAATAGAAACATCAGTGACCCATCTTTTTCATTCTCATCCATTCAGAACCCTTTTTATTTATTTATTTTGTAAGAGACCTCTCTTTTTAAAATATTTTAGACTTGGGGATCTAATAGAGCATGAAATAATTATATGGGAATTATACAGTCACTGTCGACATGCTTCTATTTTTTATATAAAACAGTCCCTTTATGTTGGTTTTTAAATAGTGTGCAGATTACAAGTGAGCCAACAACATGGGACAGACCACTTAATTTATTTAACTATCTATTCTTTCTTAAGAAAAGATGGATATTACTTCCCACCAGCATTTAAAATATTTTACTACTATACTAAGCAATAACATCAATTTGTTTAACTTAATTAACATTCTTGGCAGTAAAGTTTTTCTGAACCTCATGTACCCGAATCATGTGCTCAGAGCCAAAACTTTAACAAGAGAAAGAGAAGTAGAACAACACAAGAGATACAGTACAAACAAAAGAACTAAAAAAATAAAGTAATGGCATCAATTCAAAATAAACCTTCGCATTATATGTTCAACACCTTGATCATCTTATTCAAGGAAGTAGAAGATTGAGTGGCCAGGGCATCTTGTCCTTGAAGGGAATTCCATTGGGATAGTGACGATGGATGTTGTTGAAGACGTCTATCATCTCTTCAGCTGATGAGGGACAGGATGGGTACAGTCTGTTACACTCGTTTCCTGTGTATCCCATGTAGGCTGCATGGGTGTAGGGATGGAATGAGTAGGATTCCATCATTTGGTCCAACAGCCTGTGAAAAAAAGAGGTAAGAAATGTGGTTTTGTTTCTTTAGTAGGAAGGAGAAAGAGTCTGAAACATACAGAGCATGAGTATATGTAATAAATAGAAACAAGCAGACGCAGAGCTGAACAAAGGCTTGTAAAAAGAGAACGAAATGTATACTGAGGCAGTCACTGTGCTCAAGAAGAGAAACCTACCCCATAAACCTATCGCCAGTAAAACCACTGACAAGATCACTGAAGAGGTCTCGCTTCTTCCTCTTGCCAAAGTTCAGTCCGAGGTTACTGAGGAAGTCGAGGAACCCATTTCTCTGTCTCCTCCTGATGGGCCGGCGTCTGATACCCTGGGGACGCGTGCCTTGCCTCTCCAATGGCTGTCCATCCTGGTTTTCCCTGAAGCCGGCTCCAGCGAAGGGGGCGAACTGCTGGAAGCCAGTTTGGGCAAACTGGAAAAAGATTTTTTTTTTTTTTAATTGTGGAATTTATTGATATTCATTGTGAAATATCTTGCATTTGCATGCACTCGCACTTTCACACCGCACACAACCACACACACACACACACACACACACACACACACACACACACACACACACACACACACACACACAACACACACACACACACACACACACACACACACACATGCATCTGGACGGCCTCACCTGCGAAGGAGGCTGCTGGAACTGAGGATTAAAGCTCCCCGCAGGAGGAGGTCCAAATCCTTGCTGGGGGAAAGGCTGTTGAAAAGCAGGCTGTTGCGGAATGGCCTGCTGTGGTGGGAAGCCTTGGGCGAATACCTGCTGTTGGGGAAAGCCTTGCTGAAACACCTGTTGCTGGGGAAACCCTGTCTGCTGGGGGAAACCTGTCTGCTGGGGGAAACCTGTTTGCTGGGGGAAACCTTGGGGGAACCCTTGCTGAACCAACGAAGGGTCCTGGATGAGTGCTTGCTGCAAGGTCTGATCGAGAGTCGGCTGGGCACCGGGGTTTAGCAACGACGCGCTACAAAAATGGAAAGGAAAAGGTTTTAAGGGTATACTCTATCGTTGAATGGACTGTATGACTTACAGCCAGAAAATATGACAGAAGAGAGAAGCGAGAGACGGAGACAGACAAATTGACAGACACAAACTAACAAACATACCTCCACCAAAGAAAAAAAAATCAATAACCCCCAACAAAGCAAACAGGCAAACAAAAAACAAATTAAACAAAACAAAAAAGACCAAATACAACGGAAATGGACTTACGGCGAGAAAGTGTTGGACGCGGAGGCCATCGAGCACATGACCCTCTCGAGGCACTGGAATCGGTCCAAGGAGGGGATCGTCGAGCGCAATAAATCGTCGACGTTCTCAAGAGCTCTGGTGTAAGAAGAAAATGAATGAATTACTTAACCGTATCATTGATTTTATTATTATTATTATTATATATATATTTTGGGGGGTGGGATTTTATTATTTTACGTCTTGTTTATAATGTCGTTATCAATCTTTTATTATTATTTTGCATATGGTACTTTTGTGTACTTTATTTTTTTCTTTATTACTTATTCAGTTTTATCGAATTTGGGATACATTGTTATAATCTAGGAATGAATAGACGAGCATCAAAGATTTTTTTCATGTATTTAGTATTTCTGAATCAGCGTTTTAATATACTGCTAAGCTAGTAGAACTGATTAGTAGACTTTGGTATCTTCATTTAGGCTTTCGAGCCCTCGATAGATACCCTGTGTTATAAAATACGTGATTAATATGTCTATAAGCTTTATGCTTATAATTATGTTTGGTATCTGGACTTCTTTGAAGATATAAAGAAAGATAGAGAGAGAGAGGAAGGGGAGGGGGGAGTTAGAAGTAGGCAGAGACAAAGAGACAGGCAGATAGGCAGATAAACAGACAGACAAACACCGCGTTCAGCTAGTACAAGTATTTCAGTGAATCATTGGAAGGCTTTGGAAAACGCAAACGGAGCATCACTCCAATTGCCTGTCGAAGAGCCCTGCATGCGAAGACTCGCGGAAGTCAATAACACGTCACCTAAACGAGTCTCTGCTCGTTCACATATTCATGGAATTTCTGAATCGGTTGCATAGATATTCCAAGTTCTACCCAACACGAGGTTGTGGTTTGAGCCCTCTGTCTGTCAGCACC